GCTGGGATAGGCTCCAGCATGCCTGCGACCGTCGTGAGGACAAAGCGTTTCAGATAATGGATGGATAGAAGTTGCAGCTGACTACTGGTGATGACTGAATGGGTGGCAACAATGGGGAAATACCAGTGTTTTGAGTAAAATGGCTTGCAGCATCATATTGTTTAAAAAAAAAAAAAACTAGCGTATTTTCCGCACTATAAGGTGCTTCGGAGTATAAGGTGCACCTACAATGAACGGCATATTTTAAAACAGTTTTCAGATATAGGGCGCACATATGATAAGGCACATAGAATAGAAGTGACAAAAGTGGTTGCGGTTGCGCGACGCATCCACTAGATGGAGCTACGCTAAAGGGAATTACAATATATAACAGCTAGAACACCGGGCCTCTCTGGTTTGCCACTCTTAATTTGAAAAGAAAAATGTACTGTCCTCTCCATTCAACATGAAAGTTAAAGCCGCCAAGTGGCAGAAAAATCTACAATTCACCGTTTTACACTCACTTTAACTGTATGGTAATATACCTTTTTAGCGTCAAATAACATTGAGTTATGACAAAATCACTGTGTCAATGAACTGCAAAGATACAAAGTACGAGGTAAACAATTTCTCCACTTTTCAGTTTATAAAAAAAGAGTTTGAAAAACGTTTTATTTATAAAGTATTTTATTGCACAATTAGAACAGATCTAAACTTTTGTGATTAACTTGCGATTGATCACAAGTTAGCTGTGGATATCTTGCGATTAATTACGATGAGAATCTTTAATCGACTGATAGCCCGAATTGAAACAACAATGATCATAGTAGATTTTGAAAGGAAAAAAAACCAAACTTTTTAAGACCTCAGGTTGCACTACTCAAACCTTAAACCTACCATGTGTGTCAGTCCATAATCAGCCTGAGCAACAGACGTGCTGCTGAATGTGTTGGTTTCGATTATGTCCGCTCCGGCCAGCAAATATTCCTGCCGTTAAAAAGCAGAGTCCAGGTTAGACACATATTGAAGTTTCACGGATGCATCCACTAGATGGAGCTACACTAAAGGGAATTACAATATATAACAGCTAGAACACCGGGCCTCTCTGGTTTGCCACTCTTAATTTGAAAAGAAAAATGTACTGTCCTCTCCATTCAACATGAAAGTTAAAGCCGCCAAGTGGCAGAAAAATCTACAATTCACCGTTTTACACTCACTTTAACTGTATGGTAATATACCTTTTTAGCGTCAAATAACATTGAGTTATGACAAAATCACTGTGTCAATGAACTGCAAAGATCCAAAGTATGAGGTAAACAATTTCTCCACTTTTCAGTTTATAAAAAAAGAGTTTGAAAAACGTTTTATTTATAAAGTATTTTATTGCACAATTAGAACAGATCTAAACTTTTGTGATTAACTTGCGATTGATCACAAGTTAGCTGTGGATATCTTGCGATTAATTACGATGAGAATCTTTAATCGACTGATAGCCCGAATTGAAACAACAATGATCATAGTAGATTTTGAAAGGAAAAAAAACCAAACTTTTTAAGACCTCAGGTTGCACTACTCAAACCTTAAACCTACCATGTGTGTCAGTCCATAATCAGCCTGAGCAACAGACGTGCTGCTGAATGTGTTGGTTTCGATTATGTCCGCTCCGGCCAGCAAATATTCCTGCCGTTAAAAAGCAGAGTCCAGGTTGGACACATATTGAACTTTTTTTCTTCCTTGGCGTGGCAGCCATACGCTTCAGTAAAGTCAAGTCTATCGTTTTAAAATACCTTGTGAATTTTGTAGATGACATCTGGCTTTGTGATGCTTAGCAGATCATTATTTCCTTTAAGCGGGAATGAATGCTCTTTAAATTCATCCCCCCGGAAATCGTCCTCTTGAAGCTCCTGTTGCTGGATCATGGTTCCCATACCCCCATCCAGGACCATGATCCTTTGCTGCAACAGTGCTCGCAACTCCAACTCAAGAAGACATCTGCTCTCTGGGAATAAAATTGGAAAAAGTCAGATCCAGGAAATATTACAGGCAGAGAATTAAACTTAAATCTTTTATACACCCTGTAACCTGATAACATGATCAGCTGTCTACTGTAGTAACCGCCGTCCCTGAAAGGGTACCGTTAAGGAGACTTTTTTCATCGTATTGGCTGACACTACTCAAACCTTAAACCTACCATGTGTGTCAGTCCATAATCAGCCTGAGCAACAGACGTGCTGCTGAATGTGTTGGTTTCGATTATGTCCGCTCCGGCCAGCAAATATTCCTGCCGTTAAAAAGCAGAGTCCAGGTTGGACACATATTGAACTTTTTTTCTTCCTTGGCGTGGCAGCCATACGCTTCAGTAAAGTCAAGTCTATCGTTTTAAAATACCTTGTGAATTTTGTAGATGACATCTGGCTTTGTGATGCTTAGCAGATCATTATTTCCTTTAAGCGGGAATGAATGCTCTTTAAATTCATCCCCCCGGAAATCGTCCTCTTGAAGCTCCTGTTGCTGGATCATGGTTCCCATACCCCCATCCAGGACCATGATCCTTTGCTGCAACAGTGCTCGCAACTCCAACTCAAGAAGACATCTGCTCTCTGGGAATAAAATTGGAAAAAGTCAGATCCAGGAAATATTACAGGCAGAGAATTAAACTTAAATCTTTTATACACCCTGTAACCTGATAACATGATAAGCTGTCCACTGTAGTAACCGCTGTCCCTGAAAGGGTACCGTTAAGGAGACTTTTTTCATCGTATTGGCTGATATAAATGACTGGTCGTGTATAACAATAGAATAGCTAAAGGGATATGTTCAATGATTTTAATATCAGGGGTGATGACAGTGAAATATGCAGCGTAATTTGCGTCACAACAGACAGTTCTTTTAATATAATTATTTCTAACTCGAAGCGTTTATGTCCATTTAAGTAGTCCGAGTGGTATTCTTTTATTTTGAAGGTGGGTTTCAACAATCGTCGGCGGCTTTTTACCGTAATGCCTAGTGTAAAAGTAATTAGGGGGGTCGGGGGTGGCTGGCTTGATTTCGTCTCCCCGAGTCGGGGCTGGCTTGACCGCAGTCGGTGACTGACGGGAAAAGTACTATCCAAAACTGTGTTGTGTCTGATCACCTCACTCAATTGTCCGCTAAGTTCCACAACTTTTGCACGTGCAAACAGCTGCGTGGCATTGCGTGCTAAAAGCTAATTCTAACGGAAGCTACTGAGTTTCAAATGCAAATACCTGTTTCTGTAGAATACTGGGAGGCGTCGTTCGTCTGAACCATCATTTATAAGAGTCGGAGATGACAGTGGGAGGGTTCGGCGACGAGTATGAAGGCTACTGTACACTAATTTTTTTCCGTAGTTTAACTAACTCCAAGACTTCTATGAAAATTTCCTGTTTAGATATTTCAAAATAAAATAGTATGAGTCCGTCATAGTGTAGAAGACGGTCCGGTTCGTTTTCTCTTGATAACATTCATCAGGTAATATCACCTATTTTCGAAATTGTACAACCGAGTTAGATGTACTAAAATGAGTGCAATGAGTTGACAGAAGGCGCATACCGCTGTCATCAGGTGAAAATCCTAAAAAAATATATAAACTAGCCCAAGAAAGCACCCCATTTCCAACATTTTAGATTGTGTACTAATTTGAAAAAATAAATTAATAACACAATTATTGATAGGATGGATTTGTGTGTGGGGGACTGGGAGGTGAGATTAATTTACATCACGGGTTAGCAAGAAGCGACTTTGGAAAACTCAGGTGCTGGGTTCAAAACCTACCAAACGATCTGGGCGGCCCGGTGCTCCGGCGTTTAGCATGTCGACCTCACAGTGCAGAGGTGCAGCATTCCATTTTGACTCCGGCTTTCCTGTGTGGAGCTTGCATGTTCTCCCCATGCTCGTGTGGGTTTTCTCCGGGTACTCTGGTTTCCTCCCACATTCCAAAAACATGCATGGCAGGTTAATGAAACATTCAAAATAGTCCCAAAGTGTGAGTGTGAGCGCGGATGGTTGTCTGTCTGAGTGCCCTGCGACTGGCTGGGAACAAGTTCAGGGCATACCGCGCCGACTGCTCTTGAAGACAGCTGGGAGAGGCTCCAGCACTCATCAGGTAATATCACCTATTTTCGAAATTGTACAACCGAGTTAGATGTACTAAAATGAGTGCAATGAGTTGACAGAAGGCGCATACCGCTGTCATCAGGTGAAAATCCTAAAAAAATATATAAACTAGCCCAAGAAAGCACCCCAGTTCCAACATTTTAGATTGTGTACTAAATTGAAAAAATAAATAACACAATTATTGATGGGATGGATTTGTGTGTGGGAGACTGGGGGGTGGGATTAATTTACATCACGGGTTAGCAAGAAGCGGCTTTGGAAAACTCAGGTGCTAGGTTCAAAACCTACCAAACGATCTGGGCGGCCCGGTGCTCCGGCGTTTAGCATGTCGACCTCACAGTGCAGAGGTGCAGCATTCCATTTTGACTCCGGCTTTCCTGTGTGGAGCTTGCATGTTCTCCCCATGCTCGTGTGGGTTTTCTCCGGGTACTCTGGTTTCCTCCCACATTCCAAAAACATGCATGGCAGGTTAATGAAACATTCAAAATAGTCCCAAAGTGTGAGTGTGAGCGCGGATGGTTGTCTGTCTGAGTGCCCTGCGACTGGCTGGGAACAAGTTCAGGGCATACCGCGCCGACTGCTCTTGAAGACAGCTGGGAGAGGCTCCAGCACGCCGGCGACCTTCGTGAGGATAAGCGGATCTGATAATGGATGGCTGGACCGTGGATATGTAAGAAAGCCCATACTCTGTATTCAACATACAGTGTCATAAACTATTGGAAGATATCTGTTGGTATACAACGGCAATGCAAGTTTTAACTGTCCAACCAACGTTCAATATATGCACACAAAACGTACTTTCACCACTCTGCGGTTTTAATTGTATGTGATGTTAAATGTAATGTCTGCAGTCGTACCAGCACTAGATAATCACAGAACTAAGCACACTGAGAAACATGTAGTTATGTTTTAATAAAAGAAGGTCCACAAATCAGATCGGCTTTACATAATTATATTAACACGCAAAAAAAAAAAAAAAGAAAATACTGCCGAATTCCGAAACTGCAGCAACCCACACCACTCAAGCATCTCAGTCTTCCTCCCGCGTGAAAACATCGCGTATTACTAATCTTTTGGAGTGCCCTTAAGACTGGACTTTTGTTTCTTTTGGTCCTTCTGGCCCATGATGCGATAAAGGTTTTTACGGGCTTCCTTCTGCCTCTTCAGTTTGGCCTCCTCGTCCTTCTCTTTCTGCCGCAGGAACTCTTTATGTTTGGCGTGCTGCACTGCGTGCGCTTTCTTTGTGTTGTAATTGTGGACTGTGCTCAGAGCCTGCAGAAGAGCCGCCACCTATCGAAAGAAAACGTTAGAAATCCGTTGCGTGATGAATTACTTGTCTTTCAAGTACAGTGGTACCTCACCTTACAAAATTAATTGGTTCTGGAAGCAATTTCTTAACTCGAAAATGTTGTAAATCGAGACGCGTTTTCCACGTGAATGTCCGAATCCGTTCCAAGCCCCCCAAAATTCAGACATAAATGTTTTCTAAAGCATAAAAATGCATCAAAATATGTAACAAATACATGTTACAATTAGATTATTGCATAATAAATGAGAGTTGTGAATAATGTAAAAAACAAAGAAGAGAGTAAAGAATAAAAATGATGGGTCATTTAACTTTGAACTGCGTCCTCATCGTTTTTTGCCCTCTTTCGTCCATGTTCTCTCTCAGAAGTGTTTCTTTCCTGGCGGTTTGTAAAGAACTGATCCAAGGGTGTTTGCTTTTGTCGGCTTTTAAAAATCCTTGGAAAATGTCCCAGGCAAACATCAGCCTAGTGAGCGATCTCCGGACTCGTGAACACTTTTTCTCGGTGATTCACATTTACGTAAAACTATCGGAACGCCTCATGGCCTGAGGGGTGAATGACGAGGACACTGCATAGACACGGATCTATCTACATGTATTTGTCTATTTCCACACATAGACACATACAGTCGAGGTCCCGCTTAGCCAATGGGATGCCAGGAAGATGCAAGGTAATAGCCAATGGCAGAGCAGTATGTTGCGTTCAGGAAACTCGGAGTTGCGAGGAGCAGACCATACTGTATTTTTACCTTTCGTATCTTGAAATTTCTTTTGTGATAGGGCCATATTTGCCTGTTGAGGCATTTGGTAACTTGAAAATTTCGTGTGGAGACGTCCGTAAGTAGAGGTTCCACTGTAATCTCAATTGAGTGTCCCGTTTCCACGTCGGATGACACAAAACCACGTTTTCTTGATTGTGATATTCTGAGACTAAAATATTCAAATAATTCCCAGAATGAACGACGCAAGGTTGTAGAGAGTGAGCACGAATCCCACCCGGCATCAACTTCCAATAATACCACGATTGGAATTACTTGTCCGGCTTTCCTCACCTTCCTTTCGTGAGGCTCCCTGATCACGCTGGGCCTCTGCATGTCTCTGGGTCGCTTTCCTTTGCGTTGCTGCTGCTTTGGTTTGCTCTTGTAGGGCAGAGACTTCTGCAGCTCTTTGGGGATGTGGAGGGGATTGAAATGCGCTTCTGTCCGCACCACAGGCTGATATGAAGAAGATTCACATTCACAGAATTAGGGTGACGTCTGGCAACCTACTCAAAGCCGTCAACTCTATGAAAGGATTCCATTTCCAAAACAAAATCTCGCGCGCCTGCCTCGCCTCCGATTCTGAACATTGCATCATAGACGAACATATTCATTTGATTGTTACACCGGAGCGATCGAAGCCACAAAATAAAAACTGCTGTTTGATATCAACAAGACTTTATCATTTCACAGGTTGAGCCTACCTTGTACAGAGAGTCAGGATTGGGTTTGTTGCGGATTCCCAGGTCATGTTTGAGCTGCCCGAGGGTCCTCATGCCTGACCAGCTGTCCTTCTGACCCACAGGCAGCAGCAGAGAAGTGACCGGATTATAGAGCTGCGGAACAGACACTGTGCACCAGGAGCGCAGGAACACGATATCTGCAAGGCAGGCAGAGGACCACAGCCTTTAAAAACCCTGTCAAGTGATTTCAGTGTTTAATAAACACTTGAGGCGCAATGCTGCTTTTACTCTGGAAAACAATCAACATTTTGACATATTTTCTGACATGTTACGGGCCGAAACATAATTATTTGGTGTTTGCATGGTCAATTTGAAATACCGTATTCTATATAGCAGCTGAATGCTTCATAGATGAGTCGAAAGGGGGGTGGGGGGGGGGGGGGGGGGGGGGGGGGGGGGACTCACCACTCATCAACAGCTTGTCCTCAAATGTGGCTCTGTAGGATCCCGGTGGCGTCGATAGTGCTTTCTTGATTTGACCCCTGACGCCGGAAACCGTTCTTACAGCGGCCCCTTCAAATTTCGCCACTTCCAGCACTGTGTTGAACATGCCCTACGTCCAAAGAAGGAGACAGCGATAATGGCACCGCCACTCGGAAGACAAAACGCAGCTAAACTGACACCTGTCCATTATTCTGTACTTGATACTTTGGAGGGACAGGGCGCTGCATTTGACAATACAGCTCGACAAGTGAGAGTCAAAACCTCCTACCTTAATGAAACACGTGTTCTTAAAGATCTTGTATGGGTAACCGATGAGTTTGAGCTTCTTGACGACAGTCACCGATTTATCCAGGTCGAGGACAACTCCGGTTGCCGCAATGCGGAAATTGGCCTGCGCGGAGGAGAGACAAACGCGTCCGAGTGCAAACTACATTACCAACAAAAAGTTAGTGACACACAAAGGTGAATTTTTCAGGATGAGCCAAAATTACAAAACAACCTTCAGAGGTGAACTTGTGTCGGGTTGACACAAGTTAAGAGCCAGAAAGCAACACAGATGTTTTTCTGAATAAAATAGCCTGCAAATGTGCTGTCGGAAATTGAAATTCCGTTCTTTTTTTTTTTTTAACTCCTTTCTTTTATCAGCCCGGTACTAAATGAAGTTTGGAGATACATGACCAATGTGAGCTTCGCACAACCTGAAGACACATTCCACACAAAAAGCTTGTAAAGTTCAGCAATCAATTTACTTACGTTAATTCCTGCTACCGTTTGCAGAGCCAGGAATCCGGTTCCCTGCGGTGTAATTGGACCTTCGGAGAGAGAGAAGTGAGGGAATTATTGTGCAATAGGTTGGATACGGAATTTTATCAAGCACTTCTTTAATTATGCTCGGGATGTAAACGATATCCAAACACAGTCAAACCTCGGTTTTCGAACGTCTCTGTTCTCGACCAAATCGGTTTTCCACCAAAAATTTCGAGGTCTTTACGCCTCGGATTACGACCGAAAATCGGTTCTCGACCAAACTGAGCGCACTTGAATGCGCCACTTGACTCCTTTCGCCTTCCTTACACGAGGAAGTGACGCTTCCTCGGGTTGACAAGGAAGTGACGCTTCCTCGTGTAGCGTTCCATTGTGAGCAGACGTGTTCAATAAAGATTTTTTTTTTTTTTAAAGAGCGTGGTTTCGGTTTTCGAACAAATCAGTTTTCTAACAGCCTTCTGGAACGGATTATGGTTGAAAACCGAGTTATGACTGCATCACGATATGAACTTCACGAGACTACGCTAGCTGCTATGCTAACAGATGACGTGGGATCGCCACAACCTTGAACTGCCGTTTATAATACGCTGCCCAGCTCAACGTTATAAAATTAGAGAAAAGCCGGTTTGAGCTGGAGCGTTTTGCGAAGAGAGTGAAAATTATGAAGTGCAATAAATCATATCTTGCTCATATCTCAACCGATTTGGACTCCGCCTATTTTTCCTCAACAAAACGCGTACGTTTGCCTGTCAGTGTTTCTGAGTTCACAAAACCCCGAGAATCCATCTTGTACATGTCCTGCGATTGGCTGGTGACCAGTCCAGGCTGGACTCTGCCAAAATTGTGTCCAAATTGAGAGCCACCAGCAATTTTTATTACCCCTCCCCCCCCACCCCTCCAAGCTGCATTTTCTTCTTTCGACTTACCCCAGATGGAGGCGCCACAGTGCATGTGCTGTGGTGTGTACTTAAGAAGGCGGTGTCGCCCGTTGTGATCCTCAATATGATAAAGGGGGATGGTCTGGAACCGGCGCCAGCCTAGCGATAGTATGAGTGGGTCTCGTGTCTTCAGGATGCGGTTATACCAGCGATGTTTCTTCAGTCTCATCTAAGAGGCAGACACGCGTGCGCACACACGCAGACACATGTACTTAAAATAAAATAAATAAAAAGTGAATTCGCAGCCAAGTCAACCAACTGGACATACCTGGAGATATCCGGCACTGCCCTCATTGGAACCCAAGCCGCCGATGATGATGGGATAGCGTGGATCGAAGTTTGCGACGAATTCGCAGGGTAGCGAGGGGATCTCCAACCTGACGTACATTCCTGGCCGGAAACCTTCATACTGCACTCTTGTCTCGTCATCCAAATCCTCAAACTCGGCCCTGTTCAGCTGTGGAAAAATACAAATTCTAATAAGTCTCAGAGATGAGGATGACGTACGTACGCTATTATCATCAGATTGCGACTTTCATGGAAAAAGAAATTGATACTTCAGTGATCGGGAACTGCATTAAAATGTTTTATTTCCATGCATTTACACATCGGCATCGCATAGACAGCTTGGAAAACTTTTCTTGTCACAGACGGTGGTCCTGGGTTCTTGGTCACCCCGCTAAGGTGTGTGCCTTTCCAAATCATGTCTGATCAACACCGAGATCCCCAAATATGTTGTCGAATCAAGACGGAGGATGAGTGGAAACAGGATGCACATGTGTGAAAATACCTCCGCCTGCTTCTGCATCTCCTCCTTGAGATCGTCAAAGTAAGTGGCGTCGCCGTCATCGTACTCGGCGTCAAAACGCTCTTTCAGCCGCCGCTTTTTATCCAAGCGCTTGTTTTTCTGCACGTCGTCATCGTCCGCAGTCGTCGGCGCCTCTTCGGCATCGCCGTCTTCATCGCTCTCGTTATTCTGTCGGTTATAATTAACAAATACCATTCAAGCATAAAAAAAAAAAAAACATTGGAAAAGAAGTTGGTTTCTATATTTATGATTTCAAAATGTTTATAACGTAGACAAAAAAAAAAGAAATACACTCTATGTGGAGATGTGGCTTAGCAAAAACAAATCAGCTCAATTCAGATGAACACTTCCACGTTCGTCGGTCTGTCGTGAATTTCACAAGCCCACCTGAGATTGATCCTGTGCCTCAATTGCGCCTTTGTGGACTTCGCCCGTTTCCAGATCTTCAAAATCTCCGTACATCTCGTCTACACGAAAGAAGTCCTTCGTTAATCATCAGATGTAATGACAAGAAAAATTCACCCAAAAGAAAGAAAGAAAAACAGTTGAAAGTATTTTGTAAAAAATGCCTCAGAGCAAAAGGTTTGCCTCCATCCAGTTTGCAGCATGCACAAAATTATCATTCCTGAACATTCCATGTATTTGTTTCCCATATATCAGATTGTTCGGGCTGAAAACGAAGTGCTGCATTTCATCGAGAAAACTCCCCAAGTGGGCTTTTTCTATTTACCGTGCTCCTTCAAGAGTGTGGCCGCATCTTGGTCCTCCTCCCACTTCCCCGTTACAAAGCAATCCTTAATGGAGTCCAGCATCTGGATGGGGAAAAATTCAAACCCCGCGGCGGTATTTTCACCGAAATGAGATACGAGCCCGTTTATGTGCGATCAAATCTTACCTCCTCCAGGTCCCAGTTGTGGGAGGAGTCAGGGTTGAAATGGGAACAATCGAGAGCATTTGCTTGAAACCTTCGACTCTTCTGAGGGCGGTTGACCCGAAAGAGTCCTCCCAACTCCTCGTCAACATCCTCACCGTCCTCTTCCTCTTTTGAGTCAGCTATAAGGAATATAAACAGCAGAAATGTGAGGGCGGTTGACCCGAAAGAGTCCTCCCAACTCCGCTTCATCATCACTGTCGTCTTCCTCTTTTGAGTCGGCTACCATAAGGAATATAAAGAAGCAGAAAATAACTCCATTTACAGTATGTAACATCCGAAATACATCTGCGTGCCTCTTCGAGCACGACCATTTTTGGATATCAGATAATGTGGGTGATTGGTTGATACCTGAACCATAAACTAGTTTTCGCAGATTGGGCATAGCCTCTTGTTGGCGTAAAAATGCTTCAGATGCCTTCTGCTGTAGACGGTCTTTCCACCGCAGAGCCCCTGTTGACCAAAAATTAAATAAATAAATAAAAAATACCCACAAAGTTCACTTCACAATGTCAATGTTAAGAATACACTTCGTATTGGAATATTTGCATATTCATGCAAGCAGCATTTATTTTTTTTAATCAGGTGCTCTGAAAGGCACTTTGACCATGGAGCCAACGTGTGTCATTTTATTATTTTTTGAAAGTACGTTTTCTGAATTGGTCTTCACGTCGATTAAAGCGGTCCGCAATTTCCCGTCGCCACAATGCGGTTCCTTGTGTTGACAGCAGTTGAGAACCAATGGCGCAGAGTTGACCATGACTTGTTTACCAGCTAAAAGTGAATCATTTTTGAAACTTTGAAGAAACATCCCACTCACTTTTATATAGGAGAAAGAGAAACTGACTTGAGTTGGCTGCCAATGGAAAATTGGAATGAAAGCCGGACTGAAGAGAGCATGTCAAAGTCATATCAAGAGAAAAAAGCCCAGCAAAACTTTAAGCTGAGGAGGCGTTAGCAACGCAGTAGGAATCAACCTTCATTGTCAAAACTTTCTGATTGCACTCTGTAACATATTTACTCAGTTGGCATTTCGTGAATTTTACGTTCTTTGGTGAATTTTATTGTTGACATTATTCATCATATTTTTGTGTCACGGGCCACGTTTGAGTTACCGTTTCCCTTGGAGGGCCGTGAGTGACTGAAACTGTTACTGTAATAAGGGGTTTGTTTGGCAACAAGAAAATGCTTACAATACCTCTCTTATTCATTACATATATGAATATTAGTGCAGATTTTAGCAAGCATCATGGAAGTTGACATGTTTGATTTGCTTTCGCGGGCCACATAAAATGATGTAGCGGGCCAGATCTGGCCCCCGGGCCTTGAGTTTGACACCATGATTTAACCCTTTCGGGGACAGCGATCCATCCATCCATTTTTCGATTCGCTTTATCCTCACAAGGGTCGCGGGGCGTGCCGGAGCCTATCCCAGATGTCGTCGGGCAGTAGGCGGAGGACACCCTGAACCGGTTGCCAGCCAATCGGAGGGCACACAGAGACGAACAACCATCCGTGCTCTCACTCACACCTAGGGACGATTTAGACTGTTCAATCAGCCTGTCATGCATGTTTTTGGAATGTGGGAGGAAACCGGAGTACCCGGAGAAAACCCACGCCGGCCTGGGGAGAACATGCAAACTCTACACAAGAAGGTCGGAGCCGGGATCGAACCTCAGCACTGTGAGGTCGACACGCTAACCACTGGACCACCGGGCCGCCGCGGTTACTACAGTGGCCTTATCATTTTATCAGGTTACAGGTTATCATTATTCGTGCATGAAAGGGTTAATCTATTTTCAAGTTGAATTTTGCATCAAAAACGGTTTACATATTGTGCCTTGAAAAGCGTAATAAAAAGACCTGATGACATTCCGAAAACGAAAACGAGCATTCACCCAGCTCTTCTTGTACTTCCTCTTCACTTTCACTCGCTGTCTTTTTCACCGCGGTTTGAGCCGTGCCCTCCTCTTCCTCTTTGGACAAATCATCATCGTCATCATCATCATCATCATCCATCTCTTCATCGGCGCTCTCTTCCTCGTCTTCATCTTCTTCAGAGCAATGTCCAGAGTCTGCCGCTCTGCCAGCATCCCCTTCCTCCTCACTCATCTCGAGGTCGTCCTCACTGTCCGCGAAAACAGGCAACTCGGCCACCGCTCCCGTCACATCTTTTTCCTCCTCCAGCTTGCGTTTCTTAACCGTCGGCCCACCGTGATCGCTTGTCTCTCTCATACCGCCGGCTCCATTTTCATTTGTATCCTCCTGCTCCTCGGCGTCACTTTCCTCAATGTCACTGTCTTCATTTTCACTGGAGTCACTGGCGTCCCCTTTGTCATCGTCTGCTTCTTCGGTGAAGATGACCTTTCTCCGCTCTCTGTGGCTAATAGGATCCCAAATACGCTCCTCCATGTGGCCCTCGTTTTCGCTGTCTCAAACACAGAGAATGTAGAGCATATTACAAATTTCTCTCATTTATTTCTCCTCTTCGTTAAAATGTATTCTGTACTGTTTCTCCTTCTGTAAGGTGATCAACACCCTTTTTCCCATGTGGGGAATGTTTTCTCCATTCTACTTTTGATGTTGTTCATTGTATAATAAACACATTCAGATTCTGAAATATGACGATTCCCGTTCAGTTGGACATGCACGTACCGTATTTTCCGGGCTATAAGTCGCAGTTTTTTTTTCATAGTTTGGCAGGGGGGTGCGAGTTATGCTCTGGAGCGATTTATGTGCGAAATGATTAACACATTATTCCATCATTTCACATGTTATTTTCACATTGAACCACAAGAGGGCGCTCTAGGCCTATGTTGATAAGTTGAACATGACTTGACGGAAGCAACGTAGAAAAAGAGGCGCTGCATCATTTACCTTTGGAGTTGGCGGAGTTTTTTAAAAGTGACACAGAAGATGAAGATGTCATTGGAATTAGTGATTTGGAGTAACACTGATGATTTTGGTCAACTTGTTAGCATACTCTTTATGCTATAGTTATTTGAATAAATCTTAATATGTTAAGTGAACATACCAGGCACGGACGGTCTCAGTTTGTTGTTTATCCGTCATTTAACGTGAGCATTTAACGTTAGCATATCGTAGCACGTACTCTGTGCATTTAATGGCTAGTGCGATTTATACTCCGGAGTGATTTATAATCCGAAAAAATAGGGTACAAAAAAAAAAAAAAACACTAATATGCAAGCTAGGCTTTAGTTGTCTTTTGTTAAATCAAAACAAAACAAAAAAATCAAAACACTTATGTGCACGTATGCCAATTTCTTTCCCTAGTCCGATCCAAAACCATATTTTGAACACTCTCTGTTTCACCTGCTTTGTACGTTGACATCTGCAGAGTCCAGCGTGGCAGAGCCGCTGAAAAGGGTCACCTTGCTGGCAGCCATCTTGGCGTCCAAAGTGGCATGCGTGTCAATAAGAGATTGGACAAGTTCCGTGCTGGGTCTGATCTCCTCCTGTGTCAAAGCAGGAAGAATTCACACATTTTAGTGAACATTAAAAACCTTCAGATGAGATTTAAAAAAAAAAAAAAAAAAAAACTATTTGCACAATAATTGTGATGATCCCACACCTGCACTTGTTGAGCATGGCATGCAGGAAGGTCGATGTATACAGCATCTTTGTCATACACCACTCCACCAACTCCAGCCATGGGTGCATAAAGCAGCCGCTCTTTCTCATTCAGCGCCCTTTTTTTCTGAGCACCAGGAAGTGGACAAGGATCGGGCAGAAAATTCACTTCGGCGACCTGAAAGTCTCCAACGCCTTGAGAAGAGGAGAGAAGACGCCTTTTTTTTCTCCCTTCTTCTTTTCATGCCGAACTGATTCGAAACATTGTTAAATTGGCCAGTGAAACGCAAAACGTTTCAAAACTATTACGGACATACCTGGAATATGGATCTGGCTTTTGTTTTTCAAATATGTGCCTCGCAAGTAGCCATACAGCGACACTCTTCGATCACATTTCAGGTCGGTTCGGATCTTTTCCGGGTCAGTCAAATCCTCCATGCTGTGAGGAGATTAAGACAACTTCACATCTGTGTTTACCTAGTAATTTTTGTGGAAGTGAATGTGGGTCCCAGCATGTTTAACCCTTTCATTCTACAAAACGTACTTGAACGTCTTTTTAAAATTAGGCTCCGCCTACCAAGGACGTACTTGTACGTCTTTTTTTTTGCGTCATAGAGAGGTGGAGGGTCTGATGCATGAGAATGAGAATAAGCTGTTTGCATTGTAAATCATGTAAAAAAGCGACCAGTAGGTGGCAGTGGTGCCTCACGTGCTTGAAATGCATGCTTTTACAAAAAGCTCTTTTTCTCCGTTTTTTTGCCCAGGAATCGCCATTTTCATGAAACTTAGCCATTTTGTAAATTTTTTGGGGTGAATCCTGTATTAGTAACCGCTAGCTGCATAGTCAGCCAAACACTGACGTGCACGCCGGTGTAATCGATGTACCAGGAACTCACGCATTGACAGAGGTTCCGAGTTTCTTTAATGGACTATTCTTTTGTGATTTAATTCGACATAATTAGCGCATGAAAGTCCCAGCCCTAGTATTTTTTCTTTCACACAGACAACTAATGATTAACCACAACCACAGATTTCATTGTTGAGGAAAAACTAAACAAAAACAAAAAACAGAGTCTGATGTCTTGCTGAGGATGCGGACTCACCGATCCACAAGCAAATAAGGATGGGATGTCTGCCAAACCAAGGGACGAAACTTCATGACTGAGATGAAGCGGCCAAGGTTCTTCACTTCTTGTGTTTGATACTCCCCGTACACCATTCCAGACAGATAAAAAAGCTTGGCGCCCTGCAGTTTTCAAACAATTACCATGTTAGCACAGGAGCAACATTTTGACACGCTCACAAGGCTCAGGATTGATCTGGCGGCTTTCGGGGAAGGGGCTACGAATGTGGGTAGGACTGAAAGTAGGAAAATGTTATTTACCTGGTAGACCTCGGTCCAGAAGCGATGTTTAAGGGTTTTCTTGGTCTTTCTTAGTGTCTTGTTGTTCTTAAAAGAATCTAGGTGAGTGAGCACACCCATGATACGAGGGAAACCGTGCACTTGGCATATGTTCAGAAATTCAAATGTTTCCATTTCAAAGCCAAAGCTGGCATCGATCAACATCAGAACCTAAAAAGCAAGAGATACTTTTATTTATTGCTTCTATAGTGCGGAAAATTCGGTAAACCAATATTGACTATTTTAATCACAGATCAATGCAGAAAATTCTGTTTTGAAATTGCCATGAATAGGCATCTTCCAAAGTCCATTTTGAAGATTCTACTGTAACTGCTCAGCAATTCCTGATTAAAATATTGGTGTTTAGAGTCAACACTTACCAGGTCGGCCACTTTTGCAAGGTCGATCATTGTATTGATGTCATTGTTACACTCCATGAAAGTGAGACGACGCTTCTTGCCTACAAGGAACGAGAAATAAAAGGCTTCATTAAACTAACGGGTAGTTGCGGCAACGTTTGACTCATCCCATCAGCGTTTGCAACATTCTGCAGGCCTGTTCTTAAAATAGCTCATCAGTGATGGGACATTGTGATTTCCGAGATATGTTGTACAGGTGATCATTTGAAAATGTGAACACTGACAAAGATTCATGGAAATATTATTGCATAATGATATTAACTGATTCATACCTCGTGAAATCATTGTCGTTCTATTGTGATCATTTTTTTTTTGTTATTTCAGAATTGTGTATCAAACAGCTCGCATTAATGACAAGCCACAACATAGCTCTCCATTTCAAAAAGGCTGCTGACACCTGATAAATTGTAAATGATTTCACAGACACAAGGTATAATGGAGACAGGTACTAAAATAACTGTGACGTTACCGCGAGGATGCATGCAAGCAGCCTACTTAATTGGACAATTGGACTAATTGACACACACCACAGTGTACTGTTGTTCATGCAACCCACAATGACTGCTGATGCACTTTTTAATTCCGTCATTATTTATTGACAAGTGATTCTGAATCATTTAAATCTCCGCATGCGATCCATCTAATAATTTCTCTGACTTCTACAAATAATAAGTGTCATTAACCCCCCCCACAAAAAAACAATATCCTATTCATACACTCGGATATAATAAGCTAAGCGCACCTGAGACGATGGTGACAGGCCCACATATATCTCCAAGCTTCTGACGTGTGAAGTTTTTGATCAGGCAACGGATTAGGGTACTTTTCCCCACCTTGGGGGGCCCGACTACGACAATCACGACCGGAGGAGGCTCTAGGGGTGTTCGATCAACAAGGGGTATGTGGTGTTTTTTGGTCTTTATGTCCTGTGCCCTGTAAACAGACACATAAAAACATATGTTACATTGATTTCATACACTCAATCCAAATCCATTTCCAATAACATTGGTACGATGCTGAAGGGTGCATACAGGTTTTGGAGAAACATATGCCGCCATCCAAGCAACGTCTTTTTCAGTGACGCCCCTGTTTATTTCAGCAAGACAATGCCAAAACAGAATCTGCACACGTTACAACAGCGTGGCTTCATAGGATAAGAGTGTGGGTACTACACTGGCCTGCCTGCCTGCAGTCCAGACCTGTCCCCCATTGAAAATGTGTGCCACATTGTGAAGTATATATATATGTAATGTATGTTTAACACAACATCCTAGATCAATACAGAGAGAAAAGAATTTAGATAACACAGAAACTTGTTTAATCTCTACTTACCTGTGGAAGGTTTTGGCCATGCGTACAGCCGACTGTACTCCAAAGGCTTTGGGGTTACGTTTGCGTTCATCCTTCTCTGTTGAGTTCCCCTGCTTCTTCAATTTCTTTCTCTCTGCCTTTGGTCCACTGTGTTTCTGCTGATGTTTCCTCTGTTCTTTAACACTGCCATCCATTCTGTCTGCGATGACAAAATCACAGCATACGAATATAAGTTTTGCAAATATGCACTGGTTTTGCAAGACTTTCTGGCAGCCACTTTTTCAGCCTGCTTCGAACCAAACCTAGTGGCAAATTTTGCAATAGTGTTGTTATGGAGCTACACAACATCACTGGGATAAAATCATAAAATTTGGCAGTGCATCACAGACCTGAAATCCCAGTAAAAAATGTCCATCCATCACCCCCCACCCCCACCCAAACATACAAAAAAAATCCACGCGGATAACTTTGTTACGATTGCATTCAGAGGTCGTGGCCGCTATAAAGCCACTTCTTCACTAGAAAGCGGTCCAGTGTAGCGGTTTTTTTTTAATCTAGTTAACGTTATTGTTGTTATTTACTCACCCGGGAATGTGGGGACTGAAAAGGAGTCAATTTGTTATTTTGAGATGTTGACAGAGGCTTGGGTGAGCATGAGGAGATCAGTTTTTGCAGGCAAAATCCCTTTTGTCTCCCCGTAGGCAAATAATTTATCAAAATAGAGATTATGTGTAAAAACCGAAATGAAAGCTTTTGAAACAAAGCTGAAAAGAAAAACACCAAAGTAAACGTGAATTTTCTTCCCACATGTATTGTCAACTTCGACCCGGAAATGAACTTCTTCTTCTTCTTCTTCTTCTTCTTCTTCTTCGTCTTTTTTTTTTTTTTTTTTTTTTTTTTTTTTTTAATAATGGGCGAGCGGCAAACCAGCGATCATGTATCGCCACTCATTGGACTGGAATGCGAACGGGCAGAAAAGCAGGAACTAACATTTAACAAAAAAACAGTCAATTTATAGACTCTAAGATATATTTAAGTAACTGGATCGGATTTTTGGCTTTTACTGCAGCCCCAAGAACATTTTCAATGTTGAAAAAAAGTTAATTTTGTTTTTATCCTCTTGTCAATATTCTTTATTTTGAGCCCTGCATACTGGTTACACGTCACATCTCCCAGTTAGTTAGATGCCTACTTATTTTTCTAAAGCGTGGAATTCATTGCATGCTGAACACGGGTTACTGATGGATAAGGTAATAAAATATTGATTAAAAAATGTATACCTAATGCAGTTGTTGCAAAACACGATCATTTTTTTACTCAGAAGTTTATGTGAGCACCTAGTGTGTGTGATTTTAGCACTTTTCTATGTTCATGAATTGGCCGTGGCCTTAAAATTAACTGGGGGTCCCCCTCTCATCAGCGGTTGTCTTCATTTTAACAAATCAACAACAACAAAGTTTAAATAGTAAAGGTTTTTATTTGACATTAACACAACCACATTTAATGCTGGTAAGTACTTTAGTAATTTAGCATTGTACGGAAAATACATGGCAATTATAGTGTTAGTTAACTTTAAGAATAATCATGGTTCAAAATAAAATATTTTCAAACTAGAATCTTTTAACTCTTGGAAAATTTTCTGCGCCACAAAAAATGAATGTCTTCACAATAAGAATTTTAGACGATTCTTAAGTAAGAAAGTTAGCATAGAATACGAAAGATAGAATACAGACCAATTGTAGTATCACTTAAAAATACCCATAGCGCAACACAAAAAGCAATGTCTTCAAAGATACTGGAATCGGAACACGATAATGTAATGTCCTTTCAAAATGTGATCACCACTATACTGTAGTATGCCACTAGATAGCGCCCAAACAGGGGTGGGGGGGCAAGCAGCTGCCTGGCTTGCAATGTGACAAGAATCACCTCTGCTTGTCACGACAGGTCGCTGGCGTACATAGATGAAGAAAGATATATAGCGCAATGCTACCTTGAAAGACAAATAATCCAATTTATAAGTTTTTTTTCAGAATACATGCTGTCACATGATTAAAAAAAATTGTCTTGAGGAGTGAGCAAAGATTTAGGTAACGGGTGGTAGACCGTGCTTGCAAACAACACAGCAGTTTGGCAGTGATTGGCAATTTTAAATAATGCCAAATGCTTGCTTCAGGCTGTTAGGTGTAAAATTAAACGAAACAAAGAGATTCATTTGTTGTGTATTTAACCACACAGCCAAATTGTATTCCAAAATTCCGCTAGCCTAATGCTAACAAAATGCAAAATGGCATAGACGTGCCAACCAAACAATCATCGATTTTGCAGTGTTTAACTCTTCAAGAAATCGGTACACGAATGGTACAGCAACACATGCAGACAGACAATGTGAACTCACAGGGATATATTCTTTATTCTCTTCAAAGACACTGTTACTGCAGTTTCTTGACCCCTTGTGACCTTTTTCGTGTTTATATGCATGTACATATTATACTGTTCCATGGTGGCCAAGGTGCACCTGCCATATGGAGGGACACAATGTATTAAACATGAAATCATGACGCCCAAACTAATTCATTCTTCACACTCTATTGAATTATGAGATTACTGTCATGTATCTTTTTATAAAGTAAAATACTGTAGAAATTTATTTTTCAAAGGTCCGGCATTTGCATAGCGTGTTATTGGAGGCTAAAATCTATAAATGGCATTTCCATTAATTCCAACGGTGAATAATGATTTGAGATACGAGTGTTGTGTATAGAATGAAATAAACACAGAAGTCAAGACCTGTACAGTATTTGAAATGAAGAAATCATTTTGTGATCAAATAAGCAAAATTGAATAATTACCTTTGGCACCCCAGTTGAGGAATCACTGGTGCACACAATGTCCTAGATATCAGATTGAATAGAAACAGACTGTAGAGAGAGGCACACAGCACACACAAGTACAGTTAGTTGATGAATTGGTCCACTTACATTGGTGTAGTGTTTTTTGGAGGAATGATCCGTCATTTAGTAGAGATGTCCTGATGTTATGAGTGTGAGGTAAGCGAGAAGCAATGAGGAGATGAATGACACAATAGCCCATATTTCTACCTCACTGAGCCTGGCTGTTGCCGCTTTGTACAATGAATACAAGGATTGCCAATTAATTAGTTCCACACAAATAAAGTCCGGTCCTCACATCGAGTATTATTTATTGTTTTTTTGTTTTAATTCATGTTTTTAATTGACATTCAGTTCTGAATAATTCTAAACTGTCTCACATTGCAACCTCAGCAATGTTTTTGTTTTGATTAGGATGGCCCGGTGGGCGACCGGTTAGCGCGTCCGCCTCACAGTGCAGAGGTGCATGGTTCGATTCCAGCTCCAGTCTTCCTGTGGGGAGTTTGCATGTTCTCCCCGTGCCTGCGTGGGTTTTCTCCGGGTACTTCGGTTTCCTCCCACATTCCAAACACATGCGTGGCAGGTTAATGCAACATTCTAAATTGTCCCTAGATGTGAAGTGTGAGCGCGAATGGTTGTTCGTCTCTGTGTGCCCTGCGATTGGTTGGCAACCAGGCAGGCCAGGGGTTCCGCCCGAAGACAGCTGGGATAGGCTCCTATACTCCCCCCGACCCTTGTAAGGATAAAGCGGATCAGAAAATAGATGGATGGATGGATCATTTTTGAAAATTCCTTTTGCTGTCTGGTCTTGCCTACCTGCTTCCTTCCACTTGGTTCATCAGCCCTGCTAAACATTGTAATCAACTATACATTTTTACCATTGAATATTCTGTACATACTTTGTAGATTGAGAGAATATTCAAAAAGAAAGCAAGCATTTGTATAATCAGTGTTTTTTAAGATGTCTTCAAGTCGTTTTCAGCAAACAGAGCTTGCAACAAAAAAAAAAAATAGGGTTTAACTGAACACATCGTCTAATTCTGTCTGAATGCGGGTTAGACAAGCTGTTCATTTTGCAGACACAAAAACCAGCATATTTTTAAAAAGGGTGGTTTGCGCCGCTGTGGGCGTAAACACCGCCAATTCCTCTCATTCCCTTTAAAAGTGGTTCACTCATAGCTTGCATGGCTGGAGCATTGTTATTGCACTGGCCGGTCTGGCAACAGACTTGTGCTGGGAAAAAATTCACCAAGATCGCACTTGACTAGCGGTCAGTTTATTGCGTTGGATTTATACGTGATCCCAGCAGCCATGCACTGTAAATTCTACAGCTTTACTATGTTGGAACACCCCCACTCCCACCCATCTTGGCGCAAAAACAGTCTGACAAATTCCCAAAGAGGAGCAGCAATGCCTGCAAGAAAATCAAAATACACAAGCCTTTCAACATTTACAAAAATAGAACGCAGGGCTGTAAATTTTCTATGACATAATATTTGTTAGGCCTTATGACCATGACTCTTGCGCCACACAACGTCATTCTTTTTTTTAACCGTACAACACTCCATAAGAGGTTAAATTCTGTGGCAATTTTAAGCAGCATGACTTGTGAAATCCGCACAGAGACAGACATAATCACAAAATCTCATTTGCCAATCGTTTGTGACCTATGAGCTGGTCGTAACATGTCCCTTTCACTTCCTTATTTTGGCTTTGTTGTTCCCCTCAAGGCATGCTTACATTGTACACACAGAAACTAACACTTATAAACATAACAATTGCACAATATTTTCACTCTTGAAGTATGTGCTTCACATATCCTAGACTTAATTTCAGAACAATGAAAATGGTGTGACATGTTCATGGTAGCTATATTCTTTTGTATCTTAAGGTGAGGCCTATAAAATTCGGATTAGACCAAAATGAGCAAACTCACCAGTCCAGTCTGCTACTACAGCTGAATGAGGCATCAATGTAAAAAATTGAATAATCCGTAACCCTTTCTGGGGCAACGTTAACTACAGTTGACAGATTATCATTTGCTGTCATCTCTTCTTTTTTTTGGGATCTGGGTGGCCCTAATTTTCATCTTAATAATACATCATATGTCTTCAATGAGAGGAGCCAGATGAGGTGGCTCGGGCATCTGGTTAGGATGCCTCCTGGGCGCCTCCCTGATGAGGTGTTTCGGGCATGTCCCACTGGCAAGAGACCCCGGGGACGACCCAGGACACGCTGGAGAGACTACATCACCCATCTGGCTTGGGAACGCCTCGGGATCCGGCGGGAAGAGCTAGAAGAAGTGGCTGGGGAGAAGGAAGTCTGGGTTTCCCTACTAAAGCTGCTGCCACCGTGACCCGACCCCGGATAAGCGGCGGAAAATGGATGATGGATGGATGTCTTCAATGGGGTGGAGGTTTTAAACCCTTTCATGCACCTTGTACCTGATCACATGATAAACTGTCCACTGGAGTAACCGCTGTCCCTGAAAGGTGTTAATGGCCACTCAAGCACTGTACTAGCATGGGCATCAAAGCAGATTTTTGGTTCTCCTGGCGGTATCGGCAGGGTCCAGGTCCTGTCGTTCTTCTCCTTGGCCCAGTTGAGATGCTTCCTACATTGGCTCAGGTTCAGAAACAGTTTGACGCAAGGAACCCGACGGTTGTCCAGATGCGTCTGAATTTGGTGGTTTTTGAAGCGGTGACTGTCGACCCATTCTGCTCTTTCTGGATCTCCGCCACATTCTTGAATCTTCTCTGTTTGATAAATCCACTTATCTAGTGCGTCTTGCCACATTTTGCTCTTCCACTCTACTTTCCATTGATATGCTTGTACACAGCACTCTGAACAGCCTGCCTCCTTAGCTATGAACTTCTGTGGCTTACACATTCTATGGAGGGTCTCAGTGATGGTCTTCTGGCCAGTTGTCAAGTATGCAGCCTTCCACATATCGAACCCAACTGAGACAATTGAACCTGTGACACTCAGTTTAACCCTTTCAGGGACAGCGGTTACTACAGTGGACATGTTATCAGGTTACAGGTTGTCATCATTGGTGCACGAAAGGGTTAAAACATTCATGCAATCCAAAATTTGGGCACATTTCTCGGCAGTGCTCCAATTTTTCTAATTCCTCTTCATGTCGGTTTTATGAGCTGGAAACCCAAATGATGTAAGAATAAACAGATACATACTTGAAATGTTTTCAACTGTAGGCCCTGAATCTATAATCTATGAATGGATATGATTTGGCGACGTGATGGTGTTATGAAGAAGTGGGTCCACCTACAAAAATACGAACCCCCGGGTTGCGATTGTTCCATTGTAGGGAGTTGGTTGTATGTGCAAGGGTCAATTGCTTGATGTGTGGCAGGGAATCTGTATTTGTTTTCACAATTGTCTAGTTCAGTTGTTTTGGAAGACGTCAACCTGTGTTGAAAATTGCGCCAAGCATGCAAGTGTTATTTGCATAGAGTCCTTTATCCCGAGCATTTTAACATCCATGACGTTGTGTCTGGTTCATATCTGCTGAAATATGACAATTCTCTGTAATATTTTAATGACATAATGGGAATAAGAAAGAGCAAACTTGATGGCGGCAAAATAACATTATTGCCAAGGCTAGGCTCACGGAAATTCACACGATTATGCGATTAGTTTCAGCTATATAGTGTTTCTTTGATTGAATTAGCCTCATGTGCTCAATGGAAATGTGGACGCATATATATTGCATTTACTGTCGTGAAATTAAAAGACCCCTGAATTTCACATTTAATGTATCAATTTAAATTGTCTGCTGATGAGGTCTTCAGATGAGTTTTTTTTTTTTTAACCCTTTACTGCAGGGGTGTCGAACTCATTTTTGTCACGGGCCACTTTGGAGTTACATCTTCCCTCGGAGGTCCGTTACGACGGTGAAACCGAATAAATGTTTAATCATCACATCGTATTATTCTCGTACACAAAACGAATGATGGTTCACTAGTTTTAAAATCAGTCAAGTATTTGTTCAATTATTGCTCAAGTGAGTGTAAACAGAGGAACAAACTTATTGCAAATTTTTTTACGGATGATAATTTGAGATTTCGGTCCGGATTTAAGCAAGGATCATGGAAGTTGACAAAGAAGATTTACTTTCGCGGGCCACATAAAATGATGTGGCGGGCCGGATCTGGCCCCCGGGCCCTGACTTTGACACCAGTGCTTGACTGAATGTGTTGCCCATATCACGTGGCTAACTCACGAATTTCACGTCACTGTTACTGCTTCACTTCTACTACGATAATGAGCGCAAAGTGTTGCCTGACGAATTGACTTCACCCTGTAACTCACAGGTGTCAAACTCAAGGCCCAGGGGCCAGATGTGGTCCGCCACATCATTTTATGTGGCCCGCAAAAGCAAATCAAAGATGACGTCTACCATGCTTGTTAAAATCCGTCCCAAATTTTTACATTTTCAAATATAATAAATCAGTGACATATTGTCAGCATTTTCTTGTTACCAAAACCCTCATTAGTTATTTAAACAAATTCAATAATTCAATAAAACGATTTTCTTGACTTCATATATTTCCAGTCATAACGGCCCTCCAAGGGAAAAGGTAACTAAAATATAGCCCGCGACAAAAATGAGTTTGACACCCCTGCTTAACCTGATAACATGATAAACTGGCCACTGTAGTGACCGCTGTCCCCGAAAGGGTTAAATTATGGCTTTAATAAACACCCAAATCTCCCGAGCCTTCAAGACATTTCACCATCATGCTGCTTTCATTCATTGGCGTTCAGACTTTTGGGTAAAAACGGTCAGTTCCTGCCTCTTATATCCTTAGTCATCTCAGGAATGTCTGACATGGAGCCCGTGGAGTAAGGAACCTTCGCCCCACTCCTGCACTATCGCTCACAAAGACCCGAGCAGGTCAATGTCCATCCATCCGCCCCTCCATCCTCTCATTCATCACTCATTCATCTATCGGCCTGTCACGATGTGACGGGATCCAATGCGACGGACAGACATCAAGCTGCCGTCAGGTTGAGTCTTCCCTTACGAGGTGTCCCTCTCAGAGCTGTCCGAGGGTCCCGTTGGTGCCTGGAGTGCAGCGCCAACTCAATCTTAGTAGTGGACAAAGTAAAGAGAGTGGGAGCTGTCCCATCAGTCTCCATTATGGGACACCGTCGTTGCTTCGCTGTCGTGTTCCTGTGGTACTCCAAGGGGGATGCTGTCTCATACATCATCGGTGAACAAAGGGCCTGGCTGAGGGGGCTGGGGTAGGAGGTGGATCCTTCCTGCCCTGGACGCACATGGACCCACCCACACTCTCAAACACTTTACCCCCTTACTCAAGTTACATTGAAGGATTTATGGGGCTCAACGCTTCTCAGCTAGAAATGAATTTTATGATGATCTTCAAGTTAAGAATTGTTTGTTTTCTTGGCAGTGAGTCATGAAAGAGAAATACAATTACGCAATTGTCAGTGCTAGCATATGTTTTTTATTTCACCTTCTTCACTGCTTTTTACGGCAGCGGGTCAGAGCATAACTCGCTTTTGAATTTGAATCTGATGAGGACATTAGCATTTTAATGGGCAGCTGTGCAGACATTACAGTAAGTCCAATCAGCCCTCCCCCATCCTCGACTAACTGTCTTTATTCAACTGTTAAACACAACGTATCGTAATGGTTTGTAAACTGAACATGATCTTCATTTTGATGAAAGTGAACATTTCTCCAAATCAATTGTGACGACTCTGCATCACTTGCGCAGTTGTCATTTTTCAGTACTAGCGCATAAACTGTCACCTTACCTTGCGTAATGACTCTCTGTATTTATGTGCTTATGCTTTAAATCAGGGGTGTCAAACTCATTTTTTGTCGCAGGCCACATTGTAGTTCCGGTTTCCCTTGGAGGGCCGTTATAAATTTTGGGAAACCATATAAATGTTTAATCACCTCCACATATTACATACACAGCGCACAGCAAATTGATGGATAACTAGTTTTAAAATCAGAAGTCAAGAATAATGACTGTTATTGTGGATTACATATGACAATTTGAAATTTTGGTTGAGACTTAAGCAAGCATCATGGAACTTGACATGCTTGGTTTGCATTCACAGGCCACATAAAATAATGTGGTGGGCCAGATCTGGCCCCCGGGCCTTGACTTTGACACCTATGCTCTAAATTGAAATTTGGTCATAGTAGCTTGTTTGTTGTAATTATAGAGTGTCTCAAACTACCAGAAAAAAATCTTTAAATTATGTTTTTAGAATGTGGGAGGAAACCAGAGTACCCAGAGAAAACCCATGCAGGTATGGGGAGAACATGTAAACTCCATACAGGAAGGCTGGAGCTGGAATCGAACCGTGCACTGCTGCACTGTGAGGCAGACGTGCTAACCAGTCGTCCACCGTGCCGCCCACGTCCAGGTAACAAAATAAAGAACCCGCCCAAAATACAGTCACAAACGGTCAACAAACATTTGATTATGGGTGTGTTGGGTGTTGACAGCATGCAACCTAATTTTTGTGAATGAGTGGACTGCACCGTTTTGAATGAATGTCCAAATAAATCAGGAAATAATGTAGAGTGAAATAACCCCATCCTGAAATGAATTTGCCAGATATCAAGCCCTGTTCCTTTCACATTCATGATCAATGAAATGCTAACTGTCCAAATAATTATGGTAAGAAGAACAATAATAAAAAATAAAAAAAATTAAAAATAATAATAAATAGAAAACAACACCACGGGATTCAAAAGAGGACAAGCAATGTAGAAAATGAATGGACGGGCTGAAATAGAATGTGGAAGAACAAGTCCAATAAATGTTATTGGTTTATATTTATTAACCCTTTCATGCACTAATAATGATGACCTGATAACATGAAAAGCCGAAAATGACTTTTTTTTTATTTTTTTTATGGTTAATGTTTTATTTTTATGAAACCTCACTAAAGCCGATTCTCTGCAATCGCCCTTTTCACTGTTTTGTGATCAATTCAACGTTGTTTTGGATAACAATAAAATCAATAAAGAACTGCTTGTTGACTTACCGTAACTGTTTTTGTGCAAACACCATCAAGTACATCACCTGAGACCCTAGGGGCAGTCAGTTTGCGCAAAGTTAATAGCGTCTATCAAAGCAGCAACAGTGACAAATGAGCCGGTTGCGCATCAAGTGTTTTATACTTTACTGCGGCACTCCTCAGTAGTGACAATGCCGCTGCAGTTGACTTAATCATGAACCTTGGATGAGATTTTTTCACACTTCAGTTCCTCTCAGAAAGTGTTTGACTCATCCATCTGTCTATTTTTTTTTTTTTATCCCTGTCCTTCTTTGGGTAGCGGGTCAGCTAGAGCCTATGCCAGTTGTCTTTGGCCGCCCGCAGGGCACATTTTGTCAATTATCATTCAGACTCACATTCACACATGTGTATGAGCATGTCAGATATTTAATTAACGGAAGAAAACAGAAGGTATACGTTTTTTTAATTGTGCACAAAATGACCCAGCCAGTGATGGCCAAGCGGGCGTGTCATAACAAATTGACATGTTGAGTCGGGTGTGTCTTATGCTCCATGGCAGTTTGCTTATTTTTAGTTTTGTGGATTCTGTCAGTCTTTGTTGGATCGTGGTATTACTGTCTTGTTGGTTTGTTTCTGTTTCACGTTTTTTTTCTTGTAGTGGTGTTTTCGTTCCTGAATTATTGTTTTTTTGGGATACTTGATGTACTATTGTACATATGAAGGTAACATGCACATTGAACAGGACATACTAATGCGTTTCATCAATTCCGTTTGTGTTTGTCCACTATGTGATTAACTCTCAAAGTGCCGGTTTCTGCGTACTCAAAGCAGCTTTTGATGGAATGAACAAACATTAGCATTGGCTCTGTTCTTGCTGTTTCCCATCAAGTTATGCAGGCATTTTCCCTGCAAACTGATAAAAATGCATTCTTGGCTGAGGCTGTGAGCATTCGTTGACAAATGAGTGGATTTCATTCTTTGGTGATGGCCTGTTTGAATGAGGCCATAGGGGTCAACATGTAAAAGGCTCTCGTATTCTCGACAGTGGAAGGCAAAATAATGCCAACTCTGATTTCAGAAAACAAGTTGGGTATTGATTGAACACAAAAGCCATCTTGAACTGGATGCATGAAATGATCCATAAGCAGATGCTATCTGCAGTTTCATTGTCTCACTATGCTAATTCTGGAGATGGGAATGCTTGTGAATGTGTGTGAGGGTGCATATGTGTGTGTGTGTGTGTGTGTGTGTGTGTGTGTGTGTGTGTGTGTGTGTGTGTGTGTGTGTGTGTGTGTGTGTGTGTGTGTGTGTGTGTGTGTGTGTGTAGTTGAAAGTGAATTTATTTCATTGCGTGTCCAACACCAAATGAGGGCAAAGGTTAAGTTTGCTGTTCATTGTCCACTCAGACAGGCAGTACTACTGTATATAATAATAATAATATTAATATTATTATTAATAATAATAATAAGAATAATAATAATAATAAGAAGAATAAAAATAATAATTCATTTCATTTATAAGCGCCTTTCAAGGACACTTTACAATCAAGAACAAAAACAATAAAACCACAGATAAAATTAAAAATAAAAGAAGAGAATTGAGCATGGGATTTTGAATAGTTGGGAACGGAAATTTGAAGATCGGACAGACAGATGGGCGGGGCGAGGTTATGGATGGCTTTAAATGTATAGAGAAGTATTTTGTAGTGCATGAATATTGTTTCAAATAAAAAGAAACAAAACATCTAAAATCTTGTTTTACTTTTATTCATGATTGACCGTATATTTTTAAGAAGTGGTTCTGACTTACAAACATACAGTTTGACGGGGTTACAGTTGCCAGACCATCACACGGGACACAGGATATGATATTCTTACATTGTATTTTTATGTAATATATCTATGCATTAAATGACACTTTTTCTCTGGCCCAATACCACTTGTTAACTGTTGATAGAAAAAGCCAAAATTCTGGAACTATTTATTGACCTCTATTCAAGTGAAGAGAGCCAAGAGACCGGAAGTCGTTACGTTAAGCGGAAGGCATGAGTTCAATGGCCGATCTGGCCTTCCTCTTTTCAACGATCGGTTGTCCCTATGGTTTATGGGAAATGTAGTCTCTTTGGTTCTAGCAAACCCGTTTTGTCACGTTTGAGCACCATTCGTTCAGATCCGGAGGATGAAATGTTACACGCATTTTTTGTACGACGAAAAGTATTAAATGCTGTAATGCAGTTGAATATTTGTTTCCGATCACATGAATCCAGCATTTGTATTAAAACTCAACGTCCCATGGTGCTTTGCGATTGTTGCGCAGCCTCTGTGAGAGCAAGCAGCTGAGCAAGGGAAGCTTGGAAAATGACCGAAGGAAAGATAATATTTGGCGATGAAATTTGGCATTACCACCACAAAAGCCACATTTTTCACCCAGACTCTGTTATTTTATCCTTAGATAACCTGGACCAACAAACTCTGGGTAACATTTCTTGACATTGGGTAGTGTGTGGGGCATTTAAGGCGCTTTCATTGGCGACGGAAAAGGTGCACCTTTAACCGTTATTTTTTTTTCCATCAACAAGAATGTCGCGAAACAACAAAAATCCTCTCATCCAGAAAATAGCAAAGCAAGCATTTATGACCTTTAAAGGTTTAAAGTGTTCGGCCAACGGAGATAGTAAAGTCTTTGCAGAAAAACAGGCCAAACTCATCTCCTTAGTGACCGCGCTCAGGGCTCCGGATCTGAGGATCGCTCCCCCGAAAAACAAATCGACCTCTGGTACGTCGGAGCCGGAGCCCCCGCCGGTCACCTACATGCACATCTGTGAGACAGATGTGTTCAGCATAGGGATATTCCTGCTCAGAACCGGAGCCTCCATACCTCTTCACGACCATCCAGGCATGAACGGGATGCTGAAGGTCTTCAATGCTTCTATCTTTGCCTTGTATTTATTTTGTTGTTGTGGGCAACGTTTGGTAGTGTTTTCTCAGGACATCACTGGCATACAAACACAGACTGAATTTCATATTATAGTGGTTCTGGACAAGCTATTGAATTAATCTTATAACAAGACAGTAAGTAAAGTAATTTCATCTGTGCTGGATTTCATGGATTTTCCCATTAAAAAAAAAAAAAAAAAAAATCTTCCCACTCCACAAAGTACCAAATTTGATGTTTTGTCTCTTTTCTGTCTGTTTTCATCCATGAGTTAATTAATAATGCATGGTTGGTGCTATCGCATGAGATGACCTAATATAATTTTCACTCATTCAATAATTATTAATTTGCTCTGCTTGTTGTACAACATCTTGCCATCGTTCTGCCTGAATCTTGTTCGGTTCTCTCACTGTGTGCTTCTTATTTTATTATTATTATTATTTCCCACAGCAAACTAGCGTTATGCACCTTGAGGTGGCACAAACATGCAGGAAACCATTTGAAATTTCGCTCAGGAGGGTCGAACAAATTTTTTTATGGTTTCGATTGCACCAATTTTCACCTAGCGCGGGATAGGTGGATCAGTGTCTTTGCTTTTATTGTGGTAGGGTGTATGTTTCAAGGTCATTCTTTTCTCTTTGTTTAGGTCCTCTATGGCAAGGTGAGCGTCAGTTGCTTCGACAAACTGGAAAGCGGCCAGACAGTCAGCGCTGCTCTTCCTCGATTTGAAACTCCCGTGGCTCCATTCCAAAATGCATCTCTGCGACGTTCCGTGCTCCGCTCGGTGGCCGAGTACTCCGAGAACAGCGGACCTTGTCTCCTGACACCTCTACGGGATAATCTCCACCAGATCGATGCTGTAGACGGACCTGCTGCTTTCCTGGATATCCTGGCACCGCCATACGATCCAGATGACGGGCGGGATTGTCACTATTACAAAGTTCTAAAAACTGCGGCCGACCCAGATATAGCTGTGATGGATAACCAGGAGCGGCAGGAAGAGGAGAAGGGGAAAGAGAAGGAGATATGGCTTTTGGAAATCCCTCAGCCAGAGGACTTCTGGTGTGGTGGAGAGCCTTACCCGGGTCCTGTGGTTTCTGTGTGAAACCTCTGACCAGTCAAACTACAGCCGTACTAGAATGTGCTTCGCGACATGTACTCAGCCACATTTCTAAATCCAATTTCTGCTTCCATCAACAGGGAGGACAAACATTAGGGTCATCGTTACCTGGAGTGCTTTTGCTCCAAAGCTTCAAACCCTCCCTAAAAATTGAAACGAGGGTTAGTAACGTACTATCCACAGCAAAATTCAATGTAATTCGCTGAAGTATAAAAACTGATTATAAAAGTTCTTTACATAAGGCTTTGGACCATATTGCCTTGTAAACATATAAATGTAATCTAGAACTCGATTTTTTTCTCAGAAATGTCTTGTGAATCCAATTTCAAATCTCTTGGACTAAATGAGGAGTAAACTACCACTTCATACATCAGAGCACAGTCGTTGACTTCCCATCGCAGAAGAATAAGCTAAAAAAAAAAAAAAAGTGACATTTTTACTTTAGCTTGAACACTTTATTTTCACTGTTTAAACACAACTTTTAAAGACGTGCTAAAAAAACCAAATGAAGTTAAAAAAAAAAAGTTGTATTGTTGCAATGCAGAATCACGATGTATTATCGAGATAATATCAGCAGTAAACACAGAACGACAGTTAGCTAATGCTTTTTATTTGTGTGTGTGTGTGTGTGTGTGTGTGTGTGTGTGTGTGTGTGTGTGTGTGTGTGTCACTAATAGCGTTAAAGAGGATTCATATCATCCATTTATTGGGTAGTTTTGGTACAAACATCTCAGACCGTCATCACTGCCTTTGTCTGCTGTCCTAAGAATTCGGAATTGTGATCAACTCGAAAAGCGCATCTTAAAGCATGACAAAGGCTCAAGCCTGAGTTTTGGTTCTGTGAATGGCGTCAAGGAATTCTCTGTCGACAGTTTATTCCCTTTGCAAGTTACACGCATCAGCAAAATGTTTGGTACATTCATTCAAAGAAATTTTAAAAAAACAAAACAAAAGGTTGACGAGGATCTTCCAAAATACAAATTGACAAGCCGCAAAGCTACGTGAAAGAATTAATGTCATACAACAGCACCCGATTTTATTTTGGTCCAGACTTGGCTACTTCGAAACCTTAGTTTTGTTTTCTCAGACATTCAGCAGTGTATTTTCCGGTATATTTTGTGTTATTGTCTTGCTGTGTAACTTAAAAGCGCTTGAGTTCGAGGGCTGGTTGTGCACCAGCAGGATTTTCTGCGACAAAGCAGAAATAATTGTTCCATTCATTACAGGGATTTGTCCGGGTCCTTTAGGAGCAAAGCAGCCCCAGACCACCATGTTTGATTGTTTGTATGATGTTTTCAGTAAATTCGGTGGTATTTTTAACTCTCAAAATATTTTTCCGAAAAGTCTTGAGAAATCTCAAACTTCTCCGCTGTGAGGTTGAAGTCGCTCACCACTTTATCATCGTGCTGCCGAAACGGCCATTATCAGTGAAAATGATATTTTGTTCACAAGCTTGCTGTATAGATTCTCACTTTTAATTAATTTAATGAATTTCACAATTAGGCAATTTAGGTTTAACCTGTGGTAATACCTGTACACCACTATGCCAGTTGGACAATGACTGTACGGTTATTGAATGTATGTGAAAAAAATAAAATTCACAGACTATATTCAAACAATTGTCATTTCAATGAATTTCATCTGTTTAGGCATGGAAAACAAAGTCAGAAGTTATTCCATTGGCTAGCACAGGGAGAACAAAAAAAAAAATAGAAGGTAAAACACGACTGATCACAGGAGGAAGCAACCTGGGCAAGTCCCACATCGCAATTTTAAGAGGTTTGCAAATATTTTTTTTGTTTCAAGAGTCAACAGTCCCAATTCGTGTTGATGTTGACGAGGCTACATTTCCGAATACCGTAACACTCAAAACATTTTTCTTTTTTTTCTAATCCAAACCGGCAACAAAAATCTGAACTAAAATCCATCCATTTTCTGATCCACTTATCCTCCGCGTGCTGGAGCCTATCCCAGCTGTCTTCGGGCAGTAGGCGGGGGACACCCTGAACCAGTTGCCAGCCAATCGCAGGGCACACAGAGATCACAACCATCCGCGCTCACAGTCACACCGAGAAACAATTTAGAGCGTTTGATTAACCTGCTATGAATGTTTCTGGAATGTGGGAGGAAACCGGCATACCCGGAGAAAACCCACGCAGGCACGGTGAGAACATGCAAACTCCACCCAGGAAGGCCGGAGACGGAATTGAACCCTGCACCTTTGCACTGTGAGCCCGACGCACTAACCAGTCACCCACCGGGGGAACTAAAATCAAATACGTTTTTGTTTTCACATAAAATAATGGTTGGAAAAAACAAAATTTGAAGGAACTATTTAAGGATGAGGTTTAGAACATTTTTTCTGTCAACACAAATAAGGAAAAAGGTATTGGGGCTTTGCTCTGAGCATGTATTTAGCTGTTGGCACATATGTTTTTCTAAGAAAGGATAAGCAGTTCAGAGAATGAACGGATGATTGAGAAAGATTAACCACAGACAGATTTGGAAGTGGACCCAAACATCGTACAAGCAATCGTCAAATCACGCACGAACAAATGGCATCAAGAAACAATGCTGTTCAGTCAGAAATATTTACACAGTTAACATTGCACTTCATATTATGCTCTTATTCTGGAATGAAAAGCGCACCACTTCCGGTTGCAGAAGTAGCTAATTTAGCTCTTGATATGACTTACTTTCATTAGCGCAGCATCACGTAAGTAAAACGCTCTAATTAATGCGTTCCGGCGCAACAAGTAATGGCGATTCGTTTGCCCTCTCTGCCACGTGAACTTGATCGCTTGAATAACACACACAAACGAATAGAAAAGAAACAAATGCTTAAAGGAACGTTTTTCAATCGAAGTTATTGGACCTGGATTTGACACCTCTGTCAGATAGGAGGATTTGAATTTGCTAACAGAAGTGAAGTTAGCCCCAAGTGTAAATGCTTCAACATCCAGGTTAAAAACTTGACTTTTTCTTCATACCTTTGATTAAGGTCCTCTAAACTAGGCGTCCCCAACCTTTTTTGCCCCACGGACCGGATTATGTCAGACAATATTTTCAGGGACCGGCATTTAAGGTGTGGTGGAAATATTACAACAAAATAATATGGTATGAGCTGCATGAAAACTGTGGTGTTTTCGAAATATAATAATAAACACAAGGAGCGTTTAATCTGGCCGCAACACTCTGATCGCTATGGTAATGTTTAATGCCTTCAAAATACGATACAACGCAAATTCAAAGTGCATGAAAATGAGGACTCACCACAGCCCCGAGCTTGATTTTCTCCAACCAGACGGTCCCATCTCTTTAATCCAGTTGTCACGAACTTTAAGGCCGCCGTCATTTGCGATCTCGAGCTGTTTTTTTTAAATCATTTTGCGAGCTCTGGCGTTTTGTTTTTAGCGTAATCGGTCACGTGACGGAGAAGCGTGGCTTGACGTGTGTCAAGCGTAACACAGACGGATGTAACGGAGAATCCGGTAATTTTTCAAAATAAAACATCTTTCGCATTCCGAAATAAATAAAACAGAATTAAGGCAAGTTCTTTCTGTGCGGTCCGGTACCAAATGTCCTGCGGACCGGTACCGGTCCACGGACTGGCGGTTGGGGACCCCTGCTCTAAACAATTTAAAATATTTTTAATCTACTTTTATTGATTTACTTTGAAATATTTTAAAGGTTTGCTCCACTTACTGGTCATTGTAGTTGTTGTGTTAACATTTTGCTGAATTTTATAGAAAGAAAACTTGAAACCGAGTGTAGTTTATCCTTGAGTACTTGTTTGAATTTAGATCTTCTTTAATCCTCTGAAGCATTCCGTATGCTGTCAGGAGGTGTGTTTGAAGAGAGATTTCTTTGCACAGCTCTCACATTGGCTGTACTGTACTAAGTTTGAGCTCAAAATTGCACACCAGATTTTATTTTATACTTTGTACAATACTCACAAAATACACTTGGTTTGCCCTATCATGTTAACTCTTCTATCCTTCTGTGAAAATAAAGTTCTTCCGCAATGTCGTTTTTGGACGTGTATGTAAATATGTTTAAATGTTCCCTTGTTTTTAATATATATTGTTTCATTTAAACTACTGAAGCGGTTTTTGAGCTTTTATGTTCACTATGAATTTTGTACATCAACAAGCATATCGTCAACATAGAATCTTTGAATTGTACTTTGAGGCTTATACTGAAAATGGAATTTTGGACTGTAGTTCCATCCAGATTTCATTCCGTTTTTATGACACATTTGCACTCATTCAAAAAGACTGAAAAATGTAAATGCAAAATAAAATGATGTGAGGTTTTTTTTTTTTTGACTGACTCTATAAGGAATTGAATTTTAATAATTATGCTGTGTATCAATACTGTCACTACAACTACAACAACTACTACTACTTCGACTAGTAAGACTATGACGATTACTGCTAATAATAATAAAAATAATGATGATGATGATGATGATGATGAATTTTCATTCACTCGATTTAATTCTGCATTTGCATCAATGATTGGCTGTAAGAAATCTAGAAAAAAAAATATGTCAAACCAGCAAAAGGAGAATATGATGAAATGTGAAGAAAAAAAACTGTCCTCTGACTAAAAGAAGATATTTAAACATAACCAAGAACCAGAGTTGGCATCGCCTTCTGCCTCCATGTGCAAAATCTAACTCCAGTCAATTGTTAATAGACAATACCTAATAGCATGGCAGCGTGGGATCGGTTCCCACTCAGTGACGGTGTAGGACGTGAGTGTGAATGGTTGTTTGTCTCTAGATGTGCCCTGTGACTGACTGGCGACCAGTTCAGGGCGTGTAGCCCGGCTTTTTTAGTCAGCTATGCTCCAGCACACCCGCGACTCTGTTCAGGATAAGTGGTGTTGAAAATAGATGGATGGATGGATGGATTGCGCAAATAAGATGTGGCTATGAGGAATGACAGCGAAGAGTAACGCTATTGACACCGTCCTAAAACTTCTTCACCATCTCTCCAAATCTTATCTTGGACAAAATAACCATGAGCAACCAATTGCTAAAATAAAACTTTTCCACCATTTGTCAAGAAGTCTGGTATGTGTGGACATAAACTTTTAAAAAAAATGCTATTTAACTGACTTTTGAGCACCAGTGAAAAATAATATGATGCATCTGTATTTTACACTGGTTTTTTTTTTTTTTTTTGTTGTTGTAAAATCCCCATCGAAAAAAAAAAAAAGGTGCACAAAACAAAAAATACCCATAGTCTGCGCATTTTTTAAAGAAAATAAATAATAATAATGGAATGTCAAAGAAAATGTGTTTCACTTCCACATTTACTGCCACCGGGCAGCGGATGGATGCGTGGGTCACACAACTGAGAGACTATTTTTTGCGATGGAACAAAAGCACTTGGCATGAAAGGTCACAGTTAAGGTCTTTTTAACAAGAGTGGGTGAAGATGATGAGTCACAAACACCATATATGGCACAATTACACGTGGGATTGACCGCATCTTATTTCCAACATGTTTATAAGACTTTTTTCTGTCATGCACGCAACCACTTTCCGTACTTACCACTTTCAGAGAAGAGGTGGCGGTGGGGGTGGGGGGGGTTTAATTAACCCATCCATACTTTGCATGGGTTATGAACAAAAACAAATGTGTGCTTTGCATCCATTTAATAAATCCCACAACAAGCATGTAAGTTTTGTCTGTACACTACATTATTGTTTTACAATTGAACGACACGTATAATAGGCTATTGATGCCATTCTATTTAGCATGACACGAGACGAGATGAATACAAAAATAGAATATATGTCTTCCAAGTTTTACATAAGAACAAAATATACACTACGTTAGAGTCCCTAAAATCAGAAACATACAAGGCACAACGGGAAATGCGCGTTAGGATTTAACACCGTTTCAATAACTTGGACGATTTACTTTAGAAATGTTATTGCAGTTATTTCTCATGAAATTCTCTCTTTTTTTTTTCCAACACGCATATAAAACAACCGCCTTTGTTGAGAATGTATGTTCAGTAGACTGTGCTGACAAAGTGCATTTATGACAGTCTGTCATTTTGAAGAGTGGTTGAGCGCATTTATGCAACAATTCTCAGTCGCGAGCGTGCAAATTCGTTAACCATCAGTTCGTAAGGTTTAAAAAAAATGAGTTGGGTAAGTACCGGCATGCGTGTCCCACCTAAGCACAAATCCCGTTGGTTGCGCCGATGCTGCTCGAGCGCTCTAAAGCGGTGCCGATGGACGCGGAAGAGGACGACGCGGAGACAGCGGAGGACTTCCTTTCCTTTTGTCTCAGGTGGATTTTCGTATGCCTCTTCCTCTCGTCGCTCCTGGCGAACTTGCGCCCACAGAAGTCGCAGGCGAACGGCTTCTCCCCCGTGTGCGTGCGGATGTGAGTGGTGAGGTGGTCGCTGCGGCTGAAGTTCCGCATGCAAATCCTGCATTGGAACGGTTTATGTCCGGTGTGGATGCGAATGTGTCTTGTGAGCTCGTCGGAGCGAGAGAAGCGCCGATCGCAACCCTCCGCCGGACACGGGTATGGGCGCTCGTGGATCGGCGTCTTGCTGGGTCTGTTCGGATACTTTCTGGGTCGCAGGATGGGCCTCAGTGGGAGATTCTGGGGGCTGTATGCAGAGGGGAGCCGCGCCGGGGCTCCCCCCTCGGTGCTTGGACCACCCAGCGTGTAATTTCTGATCGTGTTCAGCGGGGTCAAAGGTGGAGGGACGCGGAATGTATCGAGAGAACACGGGCCGAAGGGTTTCCGATCTGGGATACTTGGAGCGTGCATGTCTCGCTGGCAAGCCGGCTGGAAGAAACCGGGGTAGTCGGGGATCATTGGGAAGAGCCCCGGAACGTCTTGGCCGCTGTGCTGCTTGGGGGACGAGTACGAGGGGGGCGGGTAAGAGGCAATGTGGCAGGTGGATGTGGAGAGAAACGCCGATGGGTCTTGATACACTTCTGCGCAGGCGGCAGCGGAATACGGCGGCGGAGGAGAGTACAGCTGATGATGCTCGATCTCAACTTGGTTCTGATGGGCCGCAGCCATGGTGCAACTCAAATTTCTGCTTGAAAAGTGACAGGGAGAACCAGAGGAAGCCGGAGAAGAGGACGATGACGTAGATGGAGGAGGAGGAGGAGGAGGAGGATGGGCGACGTTGAAGATTCCCGAGACGATGTTGATGACTCCCTCGGGGTTCCAGTTTGCGGGATACTGGGAGTCGATGGAGAACTTCCCCATGTAGGTGAAGGTCTGGTTGCGGTGTGAGGAAGGTTGGGAGAAACCGCCGGAGTAAGATGAGAGGTCCAGAGAACGCCTCTCTGTGCTCATCTCTGCGCCCATTAGGGGATCTGTGGACACAACAAAATCGATCATTAGTGAAAGTCTTATTACAATTAATATGATCAGTAATGTTTTGTGAGTGGCAACCGATGTTATTTACCCACGAGGCGGATCACACGTACACGTCTTTCCATAGTATTAACAAGCATCGAGTTTAATTCATATGACATTGGAAAATATACGTTTTTTTTTAAAGAAATAATTAGTGGACGATGACTTTTCACTAATCAAATTCCACTCGTGTCTTACCTGCTGCTACATTGATCTGGTCGTAATTTGGCCCCATGTCAGAGTTGGGAAAAATTGCAACTGACGGGGGCAAGCCGCCGGCGATGTCGTCCACGGAGTACACGTTCTCGAACCCCCCGAGAGTCATCGGCACCTTCTCCAGAGTTTTAGCCGTCATCCTGGCAGAAATAAAAACCCGCGAGAACACGTTTTGACGCCCTTTAATTCCCACACGAGTGTTTAAAGTTTAGCCACGCGTGGGTTACCGCTGCATGTCTCTTCATATAAGAAGAGAGCAGAGGAGTGCTCCCGAGTTCTTCACGATTCGCGCGCTCTGGTGTCTAAAGGTTTAACAACTCGTAATATTATTCGGGAGCAGCGGGCCCTCGCATTGTGCGGTACATAAGGGAACCCTTTTCAATGTGGTTCTACGTCATTAACCAAATATGGAGTGGGCGGGGGGCGGAGCCCCAGGTGCCGATTGGCAGGGAAGCTCCATGACGGTTGAAAGTAAAAGTGAAGCGCTTGTCAACGCAGAAACTACCGCGAAGGGGGAAAAAAATAGTCAAGAAACAGTTTTAAAACACAGACAGGTAATCAATATCAAATAGGGCAAACAATCTTCTCTTATATTCAGCCACTGGTATTGTTTACACGGCAGGGTTGTATCTTGCCCTCGTGTTTCTGAAAAAGGAATTTCCGGGTAGGCCTAAAGACCATAAAAGGATGAATCCGGTGATCCGCCTATTTTTTTTCGGTTTCGTTTCCGGATTTTGATAAACGTCGGAAAGTGACGAGTTCTATCGAGTGGGAACGCAAGATTGAGCCATAATGAAATTAGACCGACACCAAGTGGAATTTGTTTTTGTGGTGCAACAACAATGTTCATGGAAACTAAATGTTTGTCATTGTGATCTGACTGTACTTGATTAAACAAACGGATATATTTAGACAAGTACAACTTCGGGGGGGCATTTGATAAATAGCTCGACCAAATGAAAACACGGTATTACTTTGAATCAATATTAATTTGTATTGTTCTTATTTCTATTACAAAGCCGTTTCCCAGTGAGCCTCCGTGTGGCCCCATAAGGTACGACTCATTTGTGTGTGTGTGAGTGTGTGTGTGTGTGTGTGTGTGTGTGTGTGTGTGTGTTTGTGTGTCTCTCTCTCTCTCTCTCTCTCTCTCTCTCTCTCTCTCTCTCTCTCTCTCTC